CTGGTGGAGGGTCTAGGTGCCCGCCGGAGGGTCTAGGTGCCTGGTGGAGGGTCTAGGTGCCTGGTGGAGGGTCTAGGTGCCTGCTGGAGGGTCTAGGTGCCTGGTGGAGGGTCTAGGTGCCTGCTGGAGGGTCTAGGTGCCTGGTGGAGGGTCTAGGTGCCTGGTGGTGGGTCTAGGTGCCTGATGGAGGGTCTAGGTGCCTGATGGAGGGTCTAGGTGCCTGGTGGAGGGTCTAGGTGCCCGCCGGAGGGTCTAGGTGCCTGGTGGAGGGTCTAGGTGCCTGGTGGAGGGTCTAGGTGCCTGGTGGTGGGTCTAGGTGCCTGATGGAGGGTCTAGGTGCCTGGTGGAGGGTCTAGGTGCCTGGTGGAGGGTCTAGGTGCCTGGTGGAGGGTCTAGGTGCCTGATGGAGGGTCTAGGTGCCTGGTGGTGGGTCTAGGTGCCTGGTGGAGGGTCTAGGTGCCTGGTGGAGGGTCTAGGTGCCTGGTGGAGGGTCAAGGTGCCTGGTGGTGGGTCTAGGTGACTGATGGAGGGTCTAGGTGCCTGGTGGAGGGTCTAGGTGCCCACCGGAGGGTCTAGGTGCCTGATGGAGGGTCTAGGTGCCTGGTGGTGGGTCTAGGTGCCTGGTGGAGGGTCTAGGTGCCTGATGGAGGGTCTAGGTGCCTGGTGGAGGGTCTAGGTGCCTGGTGGTGGGTCTAGGTGCCTGATGGAGGGTCTAGGTGCCTGATGGAGGGTCTAGGTGCCTGGTGGAGGGTCTAGGTGTCTGGTGGAGGGTCTAGGTGCCTGATGGAGGGTCTAGGTGCCTGGTGGAGGGTCTAGGTGACTGGTGGAGGGTCTAGGTGCCTGGTGGTGGGTCTAGGTGCCTGGTGGAGGGTCTAGGTGCCTGGTGGAGGGTCTAGGTGCCTGATGGAGGGTCTAGGTGCCTGGTGGAGGGTCTAGGTGCCTGGTGATGGGTCTAGGTGCCTGATGGAGGGTCTAGGTGCCTGGTGGAGGGTCTAGGTGCCTGGTGGAGGGTCTAGGTGCCCGCCGGAGGGTCTAGGTGCCTGATGGAGGGTCTAGGTGATTGGTGGAGGGTCTAGGTGCCTGGTGGAGGGTCTAGGTGCCTGGTGGAGGGCCTAGGTGCCAGGTGGAGGGCCTAGGTGCCTGGTGGAGGGTCTAGGTGCCAGGTGGAGGGTCTAGGTGCCTGATGGAGGGTCTAGGTGCCTGATGGAGGGTCTAGGTGCCTGGTGGAGGGTCTAGGTGCCTGGTGGAGGGTCTAGGTGCCTGGTGGAGGGTCTAGGTGCCTGGTGGAGGGTCTAGGTGCCTGGTGGAGGGTCTAGGTGCCTGGTGGTGGGTCTAGGTGCCTGATGGAGGGTCTAGGTGCCTGGTGGAGGGTCTAGGTGCCTGGTGGAGGGTCTAGGTGCCCGCCGGAGGGTCTAGGTGCCTGATGGAGGGTCTAGGTGCCTGGTGGTGGGTCTAGGTGCCTGGTGGTGGGTCTAGGTGCCTGATGGAGGGTCTAGGTGCCTGGTGGAGGGTCTAGGTGCCTGGTGGTGGGTCTAGGTGCCTGATGGAGGGTCTAGGTGCCTGGTGGAGGGTCTAGGTGCCTGGTGGAGGGTCTAGGTGCCCGCCGGAGGGTCTAGGTGCCTGATGGAGGGTCTAGGTGATTGGTGGAGGGTCTAGGTGCCTGGTGGAGGGCCTAGGTGCCTGGTGGAGGGCCTAGGTGCCAGGTGGAGGGCCTAGGTGCCTGGTGGAGGGTCTAGGTGCCAGGTGGAGGGTCTAGGTGCCTGATGGAGGGTCTAGGTGCCTGATGGAGGGTCTAGGTGCCTGGTGGAGGGTCTAGGTGCCTGGTGGAGGGTCTAGGTGCCTGGTGGAGGGTCTAGGTGCCTGGTGGAGGGTCTAGGTGCCTGGTGGAGGGTCTAGGTGCCTGGTGGTGGGTCTAGGTGCCTGATGGAGGGTCTAGGTGCCTGGTGGAGGGTCTAGGTGCCTGGTGGAGGGTCTAGGTGCCCGCCGGAGGGTCTAGGTGCCTGATGGAGGGTCTAGGTGCCTGGTGGTGGGTCTAGGTGCCTGGTGGTGGGTCTAGGTGCCTGATGGAGGGTCTAGGTGCCCGCCGGAGGGTCTAGGTGCCTGGTGGTGGGTCTAGGTGCCTGATGGAGGGTCTAGGTGCCTGGTGGAGGGTCTAGGTGCCTGATGGAGGGTCTAGGTGCCTGGTGGAGGGTCTAGGTGCCTGGTGGTGGGTCTAGGTGCCTGATGGAGGGTCTAGGTGCCTGGTGGAGGGTCTAGGTGACTGGTGGAGGGTCTAGGTGCCTGGTGGTGGGTCTAGGTGCCTGGTGGAGGGTCTAGGTGCCTGGTGGAGGGTCTAGGTGCCTGATGGAGGGTCTAGGTGCCTGGTGGAGGGTCTAGGTGCCTGGTGGTGGGTCTAGGTGCCTGGTGGAGGGTCTAGGTGACTGGTGGAGGGTCTAGGTGCCTGGTGGAGGGTCTAGGTGCCTGGTGGTGGGTCTAGGTGCCTGGTGGAGGGTCTAGGTGCCTGGTGGAGGGTCTAGGTGACTGGTGGAGGGTCTAGGTGCCTGGTGGAGGGTCTAGGTGCCTGGTGGTGGGTCTAGGTGCCTGGTGGAGGGTCTAGGTGACTGGTGGAGGGTCTAGGTGCCTGGTGGAGGGTCTAGGTGACTGGTGGAGGGTCTAGGTGCCTGGTGGAGGGTCTAGGTGCCTGGTGGAGCGTCTAGGTGCCTGATGGAGGGTCTAGGTGCCTGGTGGAGGGTCTAGGTGCCTGGTGGTGGGTCTAGGTGCCTGGTGGAGGGTCTAGGTGCCTGGTGGAGGGTCTAGGTGACTGGTGGAGGGTCTAGGTGCCTGGTGGAGGGTCTAGGTGCCTGGTGGAGGGTCTAGGTGCCTGGTGGAGGGTCTAGGTGCCTAGGGGAAGGGTCTAGGTGACTGGTGAAGGGTCTAGGTGCCTGGTGGAGGGTCTAGGTGCCTGATGGAGGGTCTAGGTGCCTAGGGGAAGGGTCTAGGTGACTGGTGGAGGGTCTAGGTGCCTGGTGGAGGGTCTAGGTGCCTGGTGGAGGGTCTAGGTGCCTGGTGGAGGGTCTAGGTGCCTAGGGGAAGGGTCTAGGTGACTGGTGAAGGGTCTAGGTGCCTGGTGGAGGGTCTAGGTGCCTGATGGAGGGTCTAGGTGCCTAGGGGAAGGGTCTAGGTGACTGGTGAAGGGTCTAGGTGCCTGGTGGAGGGTCTAGGTGCCTGATGGAGGGTCTAGGTGCCTAGGGGAAGGGTCTAGGTGACTGGTGAAGGGTCTAGGTGCCTGGTGGAGGGTCTAGGTGCCTGGTGGAGGGTCTAGGTGACTGGTGGAGGGTCTAGGTGCCTGGTGGAGGGTCTAGGTGCCTGGTGGAGGGTCTAGGTGACTGGTGGAGGGTCTAGGTGCCTGGTGGAGGGTCTAGGTGCCTGGTGGAGGGTCTAGGTGACTGGTGGAGGGTCTAGGTGCCTGGTGGAGGGTCTAGGTGCCTGGTGGAGGGTCTAGGTGACTGGTGGAGGGTCTAGGTGCCTGGTGGAGGGTCTAGGTGCCTGGTGGAGGGTCTAGGTGCCTGGTGGTGGGTCTAGGTGCCTGACGGAGGGTCTAGGTGCCTAGGGGAAGGGTCTAGGTGCCTGGTGAAGGGTCTAGGTGCCTGGTGGAGGGTCTAGGTGCCTGGTGGTGGGTCTAGGTGCCTGATGGAGGGTCTAGGTGCCTGGTGGAGGGTCTAGGTGCCTGGTGGAGGGTCTAGGTGCCTGGTGGTGGGTCTAGGTGCCTGATGGAGGGTCTAGGTGCCTAGGGGAAGGGTCTAGGTGCCTGATGAAGGGTCTAGGTGTCTGGTGGAGGGTCTAGGTGCCTGGTGGAGGGTCTAGGTGCCTGGTGGTGGGTCTAGGTGCCTGGTGGAGGGTCTAGGTGCCTGGTGGAGGGTCTAGGTGACTGGTGGAGGGTCTAGGTGCCTGGTGGAGGGTCTAGGTGCCTGATGGAGGGTCTAGGTGCCTGGTGGAGGGTCTAGGTGCCTGGTGGAGGGTCTAGGTGACTGGTGGAGGGTCTAGGTGCCTGGTGGAGGGTCTACGTGCCTGGTGGAGGGTCTAGGTGCCTGATGGAGGGTCTAGGTGCCTGGTGGAGGGTCTAGGTGCCTGGTGGTGGGTCTAGGTGCCTGGTGGAGGGTCTAGGTGCCTGGTGGAGGGTCTAGGTGACTGGTGGAGGGTCTAGGTGCCTGGTGGAGGGTCTAGGTGCCTGGTGGAGGGTCTAGGTGCCTGGTGGAGGGTCTAGGTGCCTGATGGAGGGTCTAGGTGCCTAGGGGAAGGGTCTAGGTGACTGGTGAAGGGTCTAGGTGCCTGGTGGAGGGTCTAGGTGCCTGGTGGAGGGTCTAGGTGACTGGTGGAGGGTCTAGGTGATTGGTGGAGGGTCTAGGTGCCTGGTGGAGGGCCTAGGTGCCTGGTGGAGGGCCTAGGTGCCAGGTGGAGGGCCTAGGTGCCTGGTGGAGGGGTCTAGGTGCCAGGTGGAGGGTCTAGGTGCCTGATGGAGGGTCTAGGTGCCTGATGGAGGGTCTAGGTGCCTGATGGAGGGTCTAGGTGCCTGGTGGAGGGTCTAGGTGCCTGGTGGAGGGTCTAGGTGCCTGGTGGAGGGTCTAGGTGCCTGGTGGAGGGTCTAGGTGCCTGGTGGAGGGTCTAGGTGCCTGGTGGAGGGTCTAGGTGCCTGGTGGAGGGTCTAGGTGCCTGATGGAGAGTCTAGGTGCCTGGTGGAGGGTCTAGGTGCCTGGTGGAGGGTCTAGGTGCCTGGTGGAGGGTCTAGGTACCTGGTGGAGGGTCTAGGTGCCTGGTGGAGGGTCTAGGTGCCTGGTGGAGGGTCTAGGTGCCTGGTGGAGGGTCTAGGTGCCTGATGGAGGGTCTAGGTGCCTGGTGGAGGGTCTAGGTGCCTGGTGGAGGGTCTAGGTGCCAGGTGGAGGGTCTAGGTGCCTGGTGGAGGGTCCAGGGACCCGGTGGAGGGCCGAGGCGGGTCGGGGACGCGGTGGAGGGCCGCGGCGGGTCTAGGGACGTGGTGGAGGGCCGAGGCGGGTCGGGGACGCGGTGGAGGGTTGAGGCGGGTTGGGGACGTGGTGGAGGGCCGAGGCGGGTCGGGGACGCGGTGGAGGGCCGAGGCGGGTCGGGGACGCGGTGGAGGGCCGAGGCGGGTCAGGGACGCGGTGAAGGGGCCGAGGCGGGTCGGGGACGCGGTGGAGGGCCGAGGCGGGTCGGGGACGCGGTGGAGGGCCGAGGCGGGTCGGGGACGCGGTGGAGGGCCGAGGCGGGTCGGGGACGCGGTGGAGTGCCGAGGCGGGTCGGGGACGCGGTGGAGGGCCGAGGCGGGTCGGGGACGTGGTGGAGGGACCGAGGCAGGTCGGGGACGCGGTGGAGGGCCGAGGCGGGTCGGGGACGCGGTGGAGGGCCGAGGCGGGTCGGGGACGCGGTGGAGGGCCGAGGCGGGTCGGGGACACGGTGGAGGGCCGAGGCGGGTCGGGGACGCGGTGGAGGGCCGAGGCGGGTCGGGGACGTGGTGGAGGGCCGACGCGGGTCGGGGACGCGGTGGAGGGCCGAGGTGAGTCGGGGACGCGGTGGAGGGCCGAGGCGGGTCGGGGACGCGGTGGAGGGCCGAGGCGGGTCGGGGACGCGGTGGAGGGCCGAGGCGGGTCGGGGACGCGGTGGAGGGCCGAGGCGGGTCGGGGACGTGGTGGAGGGGCCGAGGCGGGTCGGGGACTTGGTGGAGGGCCGAGGCGGGTCAGGGACGCGGTGGAGGGCCGAGGCGGGTCGGGGGACGTGGTGGAGGGCCGAGGCGGGTCGGGGGACGTGGTGGAGGGCCGAGGCGGGTCGGGGACGTGGTGGAGGGCCGAGGCGGGTCGGGGACGTGGTGGAGGGGCCGAGGTGGGTCGGGGGCGTGGTGGAGGGCCGAGGCGGGTCGGGGACGTGGTGGAGGGCCGAGGCGGGTCGGGGACGCGGTGGAGGGCCGAGGCGGGTCGGGGATGTGGTGGAGGGCCGAGGCGGGTCGGGGACGTGGTGGAGGGCCGAGGCGGGTCGGGGGACGCGGTGGAGGGGCCGAGGCGGGTCGGGGGACGCGGTGGAGGGGCCGAGGCGGGTCGGGGACGTGGTGGAGGGCCGAGGCGGGTCGGGGACGCGGTGGAGGGCCGAGGCGGGTCGGGGACGTGGTGGAGGGCCGAGGCGGGTCGGGGACGCGGTGGAGGGCCGAGGCGGGTCGGGGACGCGGTGGAGGGCCGAGGCGGGTCGGGGACGCGGGTAATCACGGTCTCCACCTCAGGTTTATGGCGCCAAATGACACGTCTCTCCGGCGCTGATTAAACCTTTCCTGAGGTAACCTCAGCACCGTGTTGTGTTGGTCCTGGCGAGACCGTACACGGAGCATGATGCTCCTGGCTACTGCTGGAACATGCTGACGATGGTCGCTCCTGGGTACTGCTGGAGCATGCTGACGATGGACGCTCCTGGGTACTGCTGGAGCATGCTGACGATGGTCGCTCCTGGGTACTGCTGGAGCATGCTGACGATGGTCGCTCCTGGGTACTGCTGGAGCATGACGACGATGGACGTTCCTGGGTACTACTGGAGCATGCTGACGATGGTCGCTCCTGGCTACTGCTGGAGCATGCTGACGATGGACGCTCCTGGGTACTGCTGGAGCATGTTGACAATGGATGCTCCTGGGTACTGCTGGAGCATGCTGACGATGGACGCTCCTGGGTACTGCTGGAGCATGCTGACGATGGTCGCTCCTGGGTACTGCTGGATCATGCTGACAATGGATGCTCCTGGGTACTGCTGGAGCATGCTGACAATGGATGCTCCTGGGTACTGCTGGAGCATGCTGACGATGGATGCTCCTAGGTACTGCTGGAGCATGCTGACGATGGATGCTCCTGGGTACTGCTGGAGCATGCTGACAATGGATGCTCCTGGGTACTGCTGGAGCATGCTGACAATGGATGCTCCTGGGTACTGCTGGAGCATGCTGACGATGGATGCTCCTGGGTACTGCTGGAGCATGCTGACAATGGATGCTCCTGGGTACTGCAGGAGCATGCTGACGATGGCTGGATATGGATAGATGTATGGCAATAAAAGGGTAGACTGGGAGATAATAAACAGGGAACTTACAAACATTCCATGGGAAACTGTTCTAAGTAATACAAGTCCTACAGAAGGAATAGAAAAACTTACTTCAGCAGCGTATCAAGTCTGTCTGAAACATGTTCCTTTGAGGAAAGCCAGAAAGAGATCTAACGTAGAAAGAGAACGCAGACGACACTATAAACGCAGGAAAAAAATAACGGAACTGCTTATGCAGACACGAATTTCCCGTCAAAGAAGGAATAATTTAAATAGGGAGATTGAAGAAATCGAGCGGAAAGTCTTTCTTCAGTTATCAAACTGAAGAAAGGCAGTTAGAACAGAAAGCAATTCAGGAAATAAAGAAAAATCCAAAATATTTCTTCTCATATGCGAAATCAAAAGCAAAAACCACTGCCAGTATTGGGCCTATTCGTACAAGTGAAGGTTCATACACGGAGGATGACAAAGAAATTAGTGAAATCCTAAAAAAGCAGTATGAGGACATGTTTAGCACTCCAATAAACAACATGAAGGTGGAAGATCCAGACAATTTCTTTATGCGGGATATTCAAACCCCTGTAAATATAACTGATATCAACACGAGCGCACTAAATTTTGAAAGAGAAATTGAAAACATGCCCATGCACTCGGCCCCAGGTCCAGACTCATGGAATTCAATATTTATAAAGAAATGCAAAGTGCCGGTAGCACAGGCACTCAGTATAGTGTGGAGGAAGAGCTTGGACATGGGGGAGATACCAGATGCGCTTAAAGCAGCAGACATAGCCCCTCTACACAAGGGTGGGAGCAAAGCATTGGCAAAGAATTATAGATCAGTTGCACTAACATCGCACATCATAAAAGTATTTGAGAGAGTGATTAGGAGTCAGGTCACCAATTTCATGGAGACCAATGACTTTCATAACCCAGGCCAACATGGATTTCGAGCGGGAAGATCGTGCCTCTCACAGCTACTTGAGCACTACGACAAAGTCACTGAGGCATTAGAAGAAAAACAGAATGCTGATGTGATATACACGGACTTCGCAAAGGCTTTCGATAAATGTGACCATGGCGTGATAGCACACAAAATGAAGTCAGTGGGAATAACCGGTAAAGTAGCACGCTGGATACTCAGTTTTCTGTCAAACAGGACTCAGCGAGTAACGGTCAACCATATAAAATCTAGTCCAAGTGCAGTTAAAAGCTCTGTACCTCAGGGTACAGTCCTTGCACCGCTGCTTTTCCTTATTCTCATATCAGATATAGACAAAAATACAAGTCACAGCTTCGTATCATCCTTTGCAGATGACACAAAAATCAGTATGAAAATTATCTCGGCTGAAGACATTGAAAAACTTCAAGCTGATATTAATAAAGTTTTCGACTGGGCATCAGAAAATAACATGATGTTTAACAGTGATAAATTCCAGGTACGGTAAAAATGAGGACCTTAAACATAATACAGAGTACAAAACACAATCAAATGTACCCATAGTAGGAAAACAGCGTGTAAAGGATTTGGGAATAATAATGTCTGACGACCTAACGTTTAGGGAGCATAACCAAGCAAATATTGCGACAGCCAGAAAAATGATAGGATGGATTACGAGAACTTTCAAATCCAGGGATCCCATCACAATGGTTGTACTCTTCAAGTCACTTGTGTTGTCCCGTCTTGAGTACTGCTCAGTACTCACTTCCACCTTCAGAGCAGGAGAGATTGCTGAAATAGAAGGAATACAGAGAACATATATGGCACGCATAGACGCAATAAAGCTAATAAATAAATAAAAAAAAAATAAATAAATAAATAAAAAATAAATAAATAAATAAAAAATAATAAATAAATAAATAAATAAAACTCCTACAAAAAAAATATAAAACCAAAAAACCATTTGTGGTGGCGTCAGAAGTGTAACTACCCTGATGTTGCTAAGATTAGCCTCCTTCAGCCAACTCCATCGGCTCTAGTGCTTTAGGACACCAACAAGGTCACAAACACTAGCCCGCCCAGCCAATGTACTGACACCCCAACATAACACATACGCAAACAAACAACACATACAAAAATGTCAACCCATGGTGGACAGGCCACCGAACTTTCAAACCTCCTCTCTCTCTCTATACCCGCATCCTCTTCCTGAATTTCATCTCCCCATCCCTCTACCTCCCCCATCCTTTCCAATCCCTATGGACATCAAAGCTAAAAGCACCTAAATTATTGGGATCGTCTCAAAGCTCTCCAAATGTACTCACTAGAAAGAAGACGAGAGAGATAACAAATAATATACACGTGGAAGATACTGGAGGGCCAAGTACCAAATCTACACAGTAAAATAACAACGTACTGGAGTGAACGATATGGAAGAAAATGCAGAATAGAACCAGTGAAGAGCAGAGGTGCCATAGGCACAATCAGAGAACACTGTATAAACATCAGAGGTCCGCGGTTGTTCAACGTCCTCCCAGCGAGCATAAGAAATATTGCCGGAACAACCGTGGACATCTTCAAGAGGAAACTAGATTTATTCCTCCAAGGAGTGCCGGACCAACCGGGCTGTGGTGGGTATGTGGGCCTGCGGGCCGCTCCAAGCAACAGCCTGGTGGACCAAACTCTCACAAGTCAAGCCTGGCCTCGGGCCGGGCTTGGGGAGTAGAAGAACTCCCAGAACCCCATCAACCAGATGGATGCTCCTGGGTACTACTGGAGCATGGTGACGATGGTCGCACCTGGGTACTGCTGGAGCATGGTGACGATGGTCGCTCCTAGGTACTGCTGGAGCATGCTGACGATGGATGCTCCTGGGTACTGCTGGAGCATGGTGACGATGGTCGCTCCTAGGTACTGCTGGAGCATGCTGACGATGGTCGCTCCTAGGTACTGCTGGAGCATGGTGACGATGGTCGCTCCTAGGTACTGCTGGAGCATGGTGACGATGGTCGCTCCTGGGTACTGCTGGAGCATGGTGACGATGGACCCTCCTAGGTACTGCTGGAGCATGGTGACGATGGTCGCTCCTGGGTACTGCTGGAGCATGCTGACGATGGACCCTCCTAGGTACTGCTGGAGCATGGTGACGATGGTCGCTCCTAGGTACTGCTGGAGCATGCTGACGATGGACCCTCCTAGGTACTGCTGGAGCATGGTGACGATGGTCGCTCCTGGGTACTGCTGGAGCATGCTGACGATGGACCCTCCTAGGTACTGCTGGAGCATGCTGACGATGGTGACAGTGTCCAGGTGGTGTGGTGACAGTGTCCAGGTGGTGTGGGGGTAGTGTCCAGGTGGTGTGGGGGCAGACACAATAACTTTCACCCACTGCCCACACACACACGTGACGCGTCAGGAAGAAACACAGGTGTAATTATGGGAAAGGTCTTGTGTGTACTCACCTAGTTGTGCTTGCGGGGGTTGAGCTTTGGCTCTTTGGTCCCGCCTCTCAACTGTCAATCAACTGGTGTACTGATTCCTAAGCCTACTGGGCTGTCATATCTACACTGTAAACTGTGTATGGAGTCAGCCTCCACCACATCACTGCCTTATGCATTCCATCTGGTAACTACTTTCATTCTAGATGATGTACTAGATTTTTTTTCTCACAATCTTCTCCGTCACCTGACACTGTAGGCAAGTTACGACCACGGACTTGTAGTTCTCTGCCCTTTGTCTGTCATCCTTCTTGTATATCATTACTTTATTAGCCAGTTTACAATTTATTGGCAGTTTACCTGTTGCCAGTGACTTGTTATACACTATGGAGAGCGGGAGGCACAATGCTTCTGCTCCTTCCTTTAGTATCCATGATGAGATTCCACCTGGGTCTATAGCCTTTGTCACGTCCAACTCTAGAAGATGCTTCCCAACCTTCCCACTGGTAATCACAAACTCCTCTAGTGGTGTCTGGGGTTGATGTTCCCTCTCTTATCTCTGGGATTTCTCCTTGCTCTAAGGTGAAGACCTCCTGGAATTTCTTATTCAGTTCCTCACACACTTCCTTGTCGTTTGTAGTGAATCCTTCTGCCCCTATCCTTAATTTCATAACCTGTTCCTTTACTGTTGTTTTCCTCCTGATGTGGCTATGCAGCAATTTAGGCTGAGTCTTTGCCTTGCTTGCGATGTCATTTTCGTATTGTCTTTCTGCCTCTCTTCTCATCCTGATATATTCATTCCTGGCATTCTGGTATCTTTCTCTGCTCTCCAGTGTCCTGTTATTCCTATAGTTTCTCCATGCCCTTTTACTTTGCTGCTTAGCTAGCCTACATCTCTGATTAAACCATGGGTTTCTCATCTTCATTTCACTGTTTTCCTTTTGGGCTGGGACAAACTTGTTCGCTGCGTCCTTGCACTTCTGCGTGATGTCTTGGGCCGTCTTTCCCCCATGCCCTGTTACTCCATGGCATGGAGTAAGAGGGCATAGGGTGGGGATGTAGGGAGGGCATAGGGTGGGGGGAACATGGGACGC